TTATTATAATAATGAATTATATGATATATCTAAATCGACGATAGAAATTGAAACTGATTTAACAAAATTAGAAAATTGGAAAAAAGTAATTACAGAATCTTTAGACGAAAATTTTCTCTCAACAGATAAAACTAAAGAAAAATTAAATCAGATTAGAATTGATAGAATCAATTCGTTACAAAATCAAGATCAACCTAAAACTAAAATACCAAAAAGACCATTAATACCAACAGAAGATTCTATAATTAGAGAACCTAGTAAAGCAGATCAAAAAAGAAATATTAATGGCACTCCTGAATCACAAATATTAAATATCATTAATCAATATAGAAAAACATTAGATAATGATAGTTTAAAAAAGTTTCCAAGATTAAAAATCAAACCAGTATCAGAAATAATCAAGAAAAGTTATGATAATAGTAAAAACAAAAAATCTTTATTAGACGCATTATATTATATATGGGTTCTTAGAAAAGATAAAAAATTTCTTTTAGAGAATAAATATACTAAAAAAAGAATCGAAGAAACTGATACTCTAACAAAAGAATTAATTAGCTATCTATATGAAGAACAACCAAGAAAAAAAACAAATGTTTCAACATATAGGCTTAAAAAAGATAAAATGTATAAACCTTTAAAAGGATATCCTTTTGTATATAGAAGAAAGGAATATAATCCATGGAATCCACTTTGGATACCAGAAGAACAACTTGATAATATTCGGAATATAGAATTAATAATTGGTGAATATAAAGAATTATTATTTGATAAACTCAGTATCACTCAAAAAAATATCGATATCATTCAGAGTACATTATCAGAAATGATGGGATATTATAAGACTGAAGAGGAAAAAAAGGATTTTTTAAAACTAACAGTTGAAGTATTAGTAAATGGAAATATCGATGTTGATGATATAGAAGATGAATCTATTAAAAACATGTATAAATCATTTGATTTTTATTTTTAATAAAGATAATTTATTAATATTCTTTTACGATTAAAACTAAATATTGATAACTAAAAGTTACATTAACATAATATATTAAAAAAACAAATGTCATACTAAATACTACAAAAAGATCACCAAATGTTCTAATAATTGGTAATCTAAAAATAAATATCAGAATAAAACTTATAGGTAAAAAAAAATCTCTAAAAAATTTTTTCATAAAACCCCAATTTTTTGGATGAATATAATCTAAAATAAATTCAAATAGCATATTAAAAAATAGTTAGGAAATAAAATTTTTAATTTTATCGAATATACTTTTTATAATACTAATATTTAAAAAATAATCAAATAAATCATCAAGTGATTTATCAAAAAAAGAACTTATTGTTTCTATTAATTCTTTGTATAAACAATTTTTATAAAAATTTACTTGTCCTTGTAGTTCATAATTTTCATCACGTAAAAAATTGATTTTTTTTTCTTTTTTACTAAGTTCATAATTAATAAGTTTAAATATTTTTTCAGATTTTTTAATAACTTGTTCATGATTTATACCAGATAATGTTGATATTTTTTTTTGAAGTTTATCCAAACGTTCAGAAATTTCCTCATCTGAACTACTATCATATAAATCTTCAGAATACATTTAAAATAATTCAAAGTATTTTATTTTTAAAAAATCTCTACAAATAACTTGAATTGTAATATGATAAATTATTTGAATCCATTCTAAATAATCAATCCAAAAAAATAATAAATCAACTGCTATTTTTATATATATTATCGTAATAATAAACTAGAAAAAATAAAGAAAAATAAATATATTAATAAAATAATAATAATTGATATTAATTACTTACTTTTAATATAGATTGTAAAAAAATAACAGAAGTCTAAAGATAATTGAATTAGATGATATTAAAAAAAAAAATAATAAAATTTTTAAAAAAACTTACAATAGTTGTTATAATAATAACAATATAATAATTATATAAATCAACTGAAAAACATATCCATTGGTAAGTGAAAAAAATACGTAAAAAAAATATATAAGAAATTAAAAGTATACAAAATAATGCTTTAGTTGGATGTCTTTCAGGATGTAAACAATTTTTTATAAGATATTCTAAACAATTCATTTTATTTTTATGTTTTTAGATCGATTAGTACTTATTTAAATATTTTTTTATTACATGAGTAAACATACTATATTTATCTTATTTTGGTTTAGTATAAAAAATAAAAACAAAATAAATAAAATATCAAAAATACGTTGATAATATCTGATAAAAATAAAATATAAAAAAAAAGAAAAATAAACAAATACAATTTTTATATATTCATTTTTAAAGCTGTTTTTGAAATAGTTAAGAATTGTGGGGATTTATAAAAAAAAAAAAAATTATGCGAATACTCGAATACTCGAATACTCGATTAGTTTAGAACCGAAACGATGATCGATTCCCCGATTCACCTATGTACTCACGTAATTGTTATTACTAAACAATTACACAACCATGCATGTGCGTTGTGTAAATAAATTTTTATTTTTGGCAGTTCTGCGACTCTAACTAATTTTACACTTACATAAAACTACGAACTACGATACATTAATAACTGCAGATTTCGCTTACATTTTGTACTCTTTGCAGCTCCATCTTCATTGGTTAAAGAAGCTAACTGTTTTTTTAAATCTAGAAAGGCGGCGATTTTAGCATCTACAGTGTCTTGGTCAGTGTTTAGTGATATTAAAGCCCGAACCTTTTCGTCTTAGAGTTTGATTTTGGATTTGAGCTCTTGTATTTCCTCTCCATCCCTTTTAAAGACTTTTCCCTCATAATTGTGTCTTAGGTTCATCCAATTCACTTTGATTAACCTTTTTTGCATCACCTTGTTTGTCGTTTGCATAAAGTCTATACTCTAAACAGTTACACAGCTATGCACGTGCGTATATAAGCACTTTTTATTTCTTGGCTTTTGTTCTGCGACTCTGTTCAAATAACGGTAACTAATTTTTTTTTTTTATACATATCCTGTTGTCATAACTGTTTATCTTGACGGCTACTCTGTAATATAGGCACTTTTTATCTCTTGGCTTTTGTTCTGCGACTCTGTTCAATAACAGATATAAGGCAAGAAAGTAGCCTTTCCGGATTTGAGCAACATAAGCGAAATTTTTTTTTAAATAAATTTTTTAACTGATCACTTTCAAGGTTGCAGAACTAAATTCTTTACCAACATTGGATAATTTATCTCAATCGCATCTCCATATGCAAAGGTTCTGAGTTGAAATGCTTTTATGCAATATTGTCAATGTCCTTATCTTACTTGACTATCGCGTTGCTATTATCAAAGTATCTTGCTTCATTCGCTGAAGGCTTGAATAATCGCATTCAGGCTTAAACTAAATTATTCTCGCATTTATTGGACATTATTATTGAAGTGTCCAACTGGGTTTGTTGATTTTTTATTTGTGTCTGTTATTTTTTTATTATTCGAGCATTGAAAATAAATATCTAGAGTAGAGATACATTTTTGAAGTCAGGAAAGTAGCCTTTTCGGATTTGAGCAACAGTGGTGAAATTTTTTTTTAAAAAAATTTTTAACTGATCACTTTTGTTAACTTTTTCTATACCATCCAGCAAAGTTGCAGAACCAAATCCTTCTTTACCAACATTGGATAATTTATCTCAATCGCATCTCTATATGCAAAGGTTCTGAGTTGAAATGCTTTTATGCAATTATTGTCAACGTCCTTACCTTACTTGACTATCGCGTTGCTATTATCAGAGTCATCTTGCTTTATTCGCTGAAGGTTTGAATAATCGCATTCGGGCTTAAACTAAATTATTCTCACATTTATTGGACATTATTATTGAAGTGTCCAACTGGGTTTGTTTTTATTGTTCAAGTATTACAGTAAAAAAATATTTAAAAGTATGATGTAATTTCAGAGGTAGCACAATAAAGTATTTTATTCATGAATTTTAAGTGTTTTGTCTATCAGCTTTGTATTATTATCTTAGTAATATCAAATACTCATTACAATAAAATATCTGTATTGTTGTATGGAGTCTGTTCCTTATAGCGTGATAGCATATAACAATTGTAGTAGGGTTGGAGATTAGGGATGGGCAATATAATAATTATGTAAGCAATAGCTAAAATTTAACCCTTACATATTTCATAAAATTACATCTTATTAAGTAATTTACGAGTCATATATAAATTTTTTGCCTATCTCTAATTCAGAGCTCCTAGTATTTAAACAATTGATTTTCGCAAATACTTGAACTATCAATTTGTAAAAAAAAACCAAAAAAATGTCTTCACATTACTACAAGATTGGTACATGCTTTTCGTGCCAGAAATGCATGTTTTGTTTCACTGACCTCATTACGGACTTATGTGAATGTGATATTAACATAAAGCCTTCTCGTGTTAAGACCAATTCTCAACAAATTTACAGTCGCATATATGATCCTTATAACACCTCATCTAATCAAAAACAGTTACTTCAATGTCATGACCGTATTTACGCCTACTGTTGTGATTTCAATACATCATTTAATCTTACTTTTTGCTTTGCATGTCATTCACAGTACGAACGCATTAAGAATTCTGAAAATGCAGGTACTAGCGATGGCGATGACGATAGTAACTATGGTGATGATGTTTCAGTTTCATCAAAGAAAAGTTCTTCTTGCTTACAATTAAAAGCAAAGGTTATAGTCCAAGTCGAAAATTCTGCCACACTACCTGCTAAATGGTTTACTTTTAATGCAGATAAATTTTTTATTTTTTATAACCAACTTGCTGATCATATTAGTAAGTATACTGATACTAATAATGATAACATTGATAAAGATAATATTAAAATTACCTATAAAGTAAATGGCCATGGTCAAGAAATGGCGTTAGAGGATGAAGATGATTATGATGCTTTTATAAATGAAAGCAAAAAATTAAAAAAATCATCTAAAGATATGGTTCTGTATATTACGCTAAAATCTGATATAAAAAAAAGAAAAAAAAAGGTTAAGGTATAATATTAATATGTTGAATTATAAATCAAAAAAAATAAAATAAGATTCTCTGATTTTAACTTTGAAACCCCCTAATATTTATAGGATTCATCGATAATTAACGTCGAAGATTCCGATTCTAATGAAGAAAAACCCAAAACTAAAAAAGCAAAAAAAAGTAATCGTTTACCAAAAGAGGAAAGACTATCCTCTAATGAAGTCGAACTTGCAAATATCATTACCCAACTTCGCTCCAAGTATCAATGCGGTATCCATAATACTCCATGCTATATAGAGGATAGCCGACACCTTCCTCTTAACCCTGCTTGTCTTCATCTGTGGTCTCGAGATATAGTATGATATTACAGTAATTCTAAAATATTTACGTAATACATAGGATATTATTAAAACAGCATTTTGAGTAACGGTAAATCAGATTTAAATAATCTAAAATAAGAAAAATTTTTTTGTGTGATCTTTTTTTATTGAACTGATATCTACAAGTAAAAAAAAATTTTTAAAAAAAATTGTTAAAAAGGCTGTTTTAATATGTAACACCATATTGTGGCATATTAACGTATATACTGATATTCATTTTAATTTTAGAAGATGAATGTTACTGATTTAGACACACCACCTACATATCCATCGTTTGGACTAGATCAAGCCCTTAAGCCTAATACACAAATATCGCAATCATAGTCTACCACTATGGAAGATACATTAGGTCCTAACTTTGTTTCGGCTCTTCAAGAATGCCTCAATAATCTTACAAAAGTTTTGAATTCGGATAGGACAATTTGATAGTTTTTTTTTTTTTTAATGTTAACGGTGAGACGATAGTTTTTTTTTTTTTAATATATATATTTAGAATATATATATTTTTTTAAATATAACTCCAATACTGTATAATTGGTGCTAAGTCTTGTATGTAATATATGCTATATACGTATCATAAAATAAATTTGATATATTACAAGTGAAAATGGGGCCTTACTTATGTCAATTCCCATTAATTTTTTAATATTTTATGACCTAAATGCCATACTTCGATTATCACTCTATACTCGCTATAGCTCCGAAATATTTATCTGTTATACTTGTTAATTTATAAATTAACAGATGGGAATTATTATTTAATAAGGTGCGGGAAATTTTTCAGAAGGGTGCAACGCAACACAAAGTAAACTTTAGATAATATTTATGAGAATTTATTAATTAATGTTATGATAACTTTGAATGTTTAAAATTTTTGCGTTATGAATGTGATAGCTGCTAGAGGCAGCTTATGGAACAGACCCAATTACGATCACATGTTCGATCAAATGACTGATAGAACGTAAATATGAGGTAATCAGATAATTAGTAATACAAAAGTATGAGGAAACTTATTAATTAATTAATTATGGGATAATTTAATCATACGTAGAAGTGAAAAATATTAGGAATTAACTTTGTCTTTTCTGCAAACCCAACTTTCATTCTGGTTATATCCACCCTAGAGTGACCCATAATTTATGTGGCCTGCCAAAACGGCAGTCATAAATAAGAGTAGGTGGTGGGATCCGTTAGGACTGTGTGCTGAAAAACGTTAAATGTGGCCTGTTGAGAAAGAAAGAGCATATTGCTCTATAAACAACTGCATAGGTTGCAAGAGAAATACCCATATGTTTCTAGTTTATCTCAAAATGAGATATAAATCAAAAGTGGTCACAAACTTAGCTAAAAATATTTGTGTACATAGATTTTATACACTGCATATGAGGATCATAAAATGTACGTGAGAAAATTGAACAATTTAAGGCAAGTGATCTGTGACTGTTTATACTTTTTTTGAACGAATGCATGTTTCATTTTTACATGAGCAAAATAATTGTTATGTAGAAGACTCGTGACGGAGCAATAATTTTATATATAATAATATATAATAAATCTATTCAAAATAACCTGATCCCCTAAAAAAACCTGCTGCCATTTCAGTAGTTATTTGAGCACATGCGACCATAAGCGCATAAAATGGATCTGGTGTAGCATTTATGAATTCCCGATTTCGACGGATCTAGTTTTTAATAGTACTGAAAGCTGTCTCTATGGGATTGTAATCGGGCGAATATGGTAGCAAAAAGACAATGCGACAACCAAGCTCCTCTATAGTATTAATAAGAAATTCATTATGGTGAATCCTTGCATTATTAAGAACGATAACGCTATTTTTACTGGGAAAAGGATTCATAGTAGGAATCTATTGCTAAGTAAATTTATTATTATATTTATTAATAAAAACAATTTACAGTAATTAGGGATAAATTTAATTAACTTACAACTTGAGATAAAATGAATTCACAGAACTGATTTTTATCGCAACTACCTTCTAAAATTTCAACCGCCAGAAAACCATCTAATGAGAGGGCAGGCAAAATCGTATATCGTTTTCTACAAATAAAAACTACGCTTTTGCGTGCACGAGCATTTATAGGTGCATAACCGTAATGCCTATTTAAAGTACGCTCGTCTTTGGCGAATTCGTCTATAAAAATCAACTGGTCGGGATGATAATTTGCCCCAATATTGGCAAGAAAAGCACTTCGATGAAGCTCACTTCTTTCAGATGCCATCTTTTGCAGCTAATTAAAAATTAATTGGTTTAAAAAATTAGATTTAATAGTAAAGAGAAAACCCGTCATTGTACTTTTAATTATATTTTGCATATATTAATTATGTTAATTTTAGCTACCTTCTTACGAGAAATACCACAGTATTTCAATGATCGCCACAAAGATGATATGGAAAGCCGCTTGTTTGTACGCATTTCCATTTCTATTAGGAGTTCGTCAAGGTACCAATCTACCTTTTCATTAACAAGCCGCTTTAACATTTTTAATTCCTGACGCGTAAATTTTTTTTTACAGCCAGGTTGGCCTTTAAAGGGATTTTTAACACATCCCCATTTTCTAAAGATAGATAGTATCTGATAAATGGAAGCTTCGCTTATATAAAAGATTGTGGAGATAGCTTTCTTATTATAACCTTTCGCATCTAAATAAACAACTCTCCATCTAAGGTCTTCACTGAGTTCTCGTGGCATATTGATTTTAGATGAATTTTTTTTTTAAAAAAAAAAAAGAACGCAAATTGGCGTGTTTAGGTGAATTTTTATAAGCTTAAAATTTAGGTTTATGTTAAGATATATACTTATTGAGTTTTTAGTTTGAGGTATGACTCTATATCGACTTTAAATAAGATATTTTTTGCTTTTATTTGATATAGTAAAAGTCTTTCGATTTTAACAGTCACCCTACCTTATTTTAATACGTCACGCGTAGCTCGGATTTTCATGAGGAGAGCATCTTCCTGCTTTCCGAACACAAAGTAAAATTTCTAATTATGTTCTATAATTGGAAATTTTATTTTGTATTCGCAACGCAGAAAGATGCTCTCCTCATGCAAATCCGGGCTACACTCGATGCACTCCGAATCACTAAACAAGGCAGGGCAGCTGTTAAAATTGAAAAAGACCCCTGGTATTCTGTATTAGCTACTTAATATACTAACTTTTACTACTTTACTAAACAATGATGATATTTCTTAAAAAAAATGCAACTCTTCGTAATGAGCTTGAAATAGCAGGGCGATTTTAACAGCTGCCCTACCTTTTTTAATGATTCGGGGGTGCGTCGAGTATAGCCCGGATTTGCATGAGGAGAGCATCTTTCTGCGTTGCGAATACAAAATAAAATTTCCAATTATAGGACATAATTAGAAATTTTACTTTGTGTTCGAAAAGCAGGAAGATTCTCTCCTCATAAAAATCTGAGCTATGCGTGACGCATTAAAACAAGGTAGGACGACTGTTAAAAATTGAAAAAGACCTTTGTTGCTTGAAATAAAATCTTTTTCGTAAGACTATTAATAGTATTGTATATCAGAGTTGGCAATGAACCTAATAGGGAACCTCCATTGCTTAAGGATACTTATTAATTGACCTCCACTGACTCAACGTATGCCAGTTAGCAATAAGAGTAAGGTATAATTTAGGCCAATCAATTTCGATCAGTTAATTCTGACCAAAAAATCTTCTGAGGCAAGTGCAATATATGTATGTGTTGTAAATGGAAACAAAATTCAAGTAAATTTGGAATTCTAGTTAAATTAGTATATAAATCTCTAACCATTATTTTAACTAGAAAATTCCAAATTCACTTGAATTCTGTTTCCACTCCAACATATATTGTTAAATACAATATGATGCTAATTGAGAACAAGACTTTTGAGAAAACAAATCCTGACGAAGTACAAATCCTCAAGGTAAATAATCCCTACTTTATGGTAATACCTAGACCTTAATCAGAGGATTTGTGCTCGTCTGTTTTATTGTTCAAAAGTTTGTTATTTACACATTAAATTTATTTATGTCCACAGAGTGGCTTTCATGGCAGTGGCGATTATAATGTAATTATGACCGTTTATATATACAAACTCGTGAAATTTTTTAATTATGTAAGGTTGAATTTTTTAAAAAGACTTTATTAAATTAATACTGTAAATATTAATAATTTATTTTTATTTATTTTTTTTTAAAAAAAGCGAATAATTATAATCATTATTATTATAATTATTTTTATACTTATATCTATCATCATTGCCGTTATTATTATTATTATCATTTTTATTTTAAATTAAGAATAAATATTTTTTGTTCCGAATCCCTTAGCCAACATATTACTCAAAATAAAGCTTTTGCTTTCTCAATAAAGTATTGGAATTGTCGCCATGATAACCGCTAGTGATGCGGTAGAATCGTCCCAATGAATTTTACGGCATACGGTCAGTTACGGTTACGATAAAAAACTTATGATCCTATTGTGTCGTATTAATAATTAATCTTCGCAACTTTAGTTAGCGATAGTATTATCAATTAAAGCGGCTCATAATAACTACGTCATAAAAATAATATAGAAAACTAATAAAAAAATCATGCTAAAATTGTTGCGCGCAATATATAGTTCGCGAACATATTCGAAATAACTCTATTACTAAATACTCACTTTTAATTCTAAACAATCTAACCTTAACTATAACAAACCATCTAATACTCCTCATAGTTACCATAATTCTAACCCCAGCAACCTTAAAAACCACATAACACTACTAATAGTCACCATAATATAACCCTCACAAACCTAACACTACACCTAATTATCATAATCAATACCAACTACACGATATTATACAACGAACGTTTTTTAACGAGCACACCAAAAGCAAAACGCCTCCAGCAAAGTAATGGCACTTTCAATAACGGCGAAATGGCAGACACCAATCATGATGACGACTTCAGCGACAACAGAACAATGCCACCAAGACACCACGAAGTTGATACTGAGATTTATACCTGGAAAGAAAATAGGAAGTTAGATATGCGACAAAGAGAACACCAGAGACAACAGAAAGCAAATTAAACAACGAAATCCATCCAAAAGGTGGAAAAAATAACATAACACCCACACAGACACTGCTGAAGACCAGACGCCGCACTTAATCAACTAGAAAGAAAAGTGAGAGGTTAGATATGTAACAACAGAGAAAAACCACTAGCGAAACTATGAAATCAAACGATGATTCCACCCCACTATAACAGCAACACAGCACAAAACTGTTACAATCGACGACTAGAAAACGCACTCAATCGCCTAGAAAAAAATTGGGGTTAGATACGGAACAACAGGGAAAAATACCTGAAATCAGAAGTGAAATCCAAGCGAAATCAGAAACGAAAAATCCACCTATCTATAATGGCGACACGGCGCAAAACAAACACCTAAACTGATTCTAATAACGATACACAGCACGCATCCATTAAAAGATGTATTGAAAAAATAAATAGATATTAATTATAAATCTTTAATTCCAATACAATTGAAGCTTCTAATAACACTATAAAAAAATGTACTACACGGTACCGTAAAAAAACCCCTATGAATTAGACCCGTGTATGAATCACAGGATCTATTTAAATAAATGCAGATGTTTTAAAAACACAGACTGCTGCAAATTACACGTTATTTTAAAAATTTACCTTGAACGCTTGGCTGTGTACTAGACCCCTGGGTACTTAAAAAAATCTGTTGCGTATAATAGCAGCCGTTACCAAAATTATATATACGTACGTACGTACTAGACTAGTGTATTACTAGTGTATTACTAGTGTATTAGACTAACCTATTGTATATATAAGAGCTTTTTACTGTTATTGAACAGCGTCGCAGTCTCATGTAAGTGTATAAAAAAAAAAAATTAGAGTCGCAGAACAAAAGCAGCTGCCAAAAATAAAAATATATTTACACAATGCACATGCATAGTTGTGTAATTGTTTAGTAATAACAATTACGTGAATCGGGGAATCGATTATTGTTTCGGTTCTAAACTAATCGAGTATTCGAGTATTCGAGTATTCGCATAATTTTTTTTTTTTTTGTAAATCCCCACAATTCTCAACTATTTCGAAAACAGCTGTAATATGCGAAAAGGCTTTCTGAGACTTAAACTCGTTAAAATCTTTATAATTTTTTTTTTCTATTTTTTCAGTTATTAAAAATTGTTTTAAATCATCGTTCAAAATATCATTCAGTGATTCTTTTAGTAGGGTATTTTGTTTGTTTTTTATTTTATTTAATAATTGATTGTAATTATCTTTCCAAATTTTGATTTTATTTTCTTGATCTTCTAAAAGTTGTTTAACTCGAGCAATCTCCGTTGTTAACTCAAGTTTTTGTTGAACAGAAATATTTTGAAATGAATCTACTGAATCCATTTCTTTTCTTGATAAAAAAAAACAAATGTTCATAATTTATAATATTTAATCAATCATTT